CCAGTCCCCATCACTCTCTAAGCCTTAGAACACCTTTCACTCACAGGCAGATTAGCTCTCCATCATAGCTGGCATTATATTCTAAAAAGGCAGTAACATAACATTAAGAACAGCAGCCTCAGGAGCAAACACAGCTAGAGGACTACACTTGCATGTACCGCCCTCCACTGAGAGACCAAAGTGAGGTTTTAGCCACCCAAAACTTCAGTTTACTTATCTGAAAAACCCTCTCAGGGATGACACAAGAGCTAATGCCACTACTACTATATAATAGTAACAGTCCTAACAGGAATGACTTACAGTCATGTAACACTATGTGCCAAGCACTATTCTAAGTGCTTTACATTTATTAACCCACTCATCCTCACAATATTTTATGGATAAGTAATCAGGCATAGAGGAGGTAAGTAACCAAAACCACATAGGTAATAAGCAGCAGAGATAGCAATTAAACCCAGCAGTTTAGCTAACAGTCTATGCTCTTAACCACTACACTACGTTTCTAATAAGCATTCAATAAATGGCAGCTATTACTGCTTTTAATAGAATTACTTGATTCTTAATGGATCTGCCCCTCCTTGTAAACTGTAAGCTTCCTGAGGTCAGCAAGCATAATGCCTCATCCATTCTGGAGGCTCACTGAATGGGTTAAGATTAAATGATTTCCTACATAGAAAACACTTAGAAAAGTGATAGCAGCTACTTCAACAATATACTGACATATTTCATTATTTGATAAGAGATGTGATATCATTTGTCCTTCTAGAATCTGGCCCAGTGTCAGAGTTCTCAACAAATACTTGCTAGTCACCAACTTACCCACATTGTTTTTCCTGTCTCACCCCTTATTTCTAAAATTATTCCTTAAAGGAAAGGCTACACCTTCATAGTAATACTTTCACTGAACATTTGTTATGAGCCAGGAATTTTTTTTGTATGTTTAATCATTTAATTCTCATAATGGCCCAATGCAATAATTAGCATCTTCATTTTTTATATGGAGAAACCAAGGCACAGAAAGTTTAAGTAACTCAACCAATGTCACATTAACACAAGGCCCGTACGTGAGGGTCCACGTACTTAACTCCTCGCCTTTGTTTCCCCTTTATAACTTTTCATACTCCCTGATACAGTTTGTAGAAGTTAGTACACATGGAAAAGTACCAAATTGTTTGCCTGTTGAAACTTTTTCACTAGAAAGCATGAAAAATAGACACTTCAAGTGCTTAAAAAAATACTTTATCTAAAATGCCATATAAAACTTAAAAGCCAGTTTCTCTCTTAATATCAAACAGACTTAGTCTTTGAAAATGAGTACATCAGTGAAGCTGAATCATGAAGATGAGGTCCGAGTTTTCCAGCTGTGAATGACTCAAAGGACTCAGACGTACTTCACATACTGAACATCCTATTCTGATGGGCACATAGCACAGAATTGAAGCCTCTAAAAGAAGATAACCCAGATCTGTTACAAAAATCTAACCCCCAAAAAGACTATCAACTCTTTAAGTGATAAGCTTTCTCTTTCAACTCCCTTTCTGATTTTGAAACACTTCACAGAAACATTTTCAGGGCTTCTTCCACAAACCTTTTTCTGAAAAGGACAATTGCAAATTAAAGAAACTCGCCAGAATAAATGAAGTAGAAACACATCTAAGTAAAACTAAACTGAAGCCTTATAGAGTAAAAAGTCATTTTTCTGCAATTAAAAGGCCTCGTAAGAAACAAACCAGTTGAACTTGTCTGTCCTAGCACCACTTATATGGAAGAGCAGATTTTCATAGTTTTGTGAAAGTCTAAGTTTACAGGGCAATCACTGCAGAGCTGAGCTCATTGAAGAGACATGTTCCTTTTCACTGGCAAAAGGGGAAAGGAAGTGAGCAATGACCTAAGAAAAATACCACTAGAGACATTCCAGCCGATACTTGATAAGGGCTGGGAAGGCTGCCATCAACTCATGGCTACAAGAAAGAAAACTTGGGTCAGAAAGCAGCCGACCAGGAGAAACCATGTTAGGTATGGGAAAGAAAACTATACATTTTTAACAAGAGAAAGCCATTTAAATCAGTGGCTTTCAAATGTTTTTGTACTGTAGTCAAGTGAGAAATATACATATCATGACTCATAAATATACACAAATGTTTATATAAAACATACATACATACATACATACATATATATATATATATGAAACAACATAACTGAAACAATACTTATCCTTACTAGGCACAAAGCACTATGACATTTCCAATTCTATTCTATTTTGTGTTCTACTCTACTTTGTGTTCTAAACACACTTGAGATCCACTGGATGAAAAAAAGTGATTTAAACTCTAATCAGCCTTTATTTTTCCCTCAGAGCCCCACAGCCAATTTAGGGAAGCTGCGATGAAGCATCTAGTCTTGGGACAAGTGACTTGATGTTGAGTGCTTGGGAAAAGGCAACATCTGGCCTTTCCCCACCATACTGACTCCTCCTCTCTCGACTCCTTAAATGCTGGGTACCCCCACAGCTCTGTGTCGGGTCTTTTTTCTCGTACTACTGAGTCATCTGACTATGCATAAACCCTATTCCCAATTCTCAATACCTATCTACCTTTTACACATTTCCAATTGAATTTGCACAGATTTCAAACTCATCAGGTCGAAAATTGTACTATAAATACAATCTCTCTTCTCTAGCTCCTCACCCAAATGTTTTTATTTTCCAGTAGTCCTCATCTCAAATAATGATAACACACTGAATCCCCTACCCAAGCCACAAATCTACGTGACCATTTGCAAGTTCTTTTCTTTTACCTCTACATCCAATGGGTTATTATTTCTACCCTCCTAATACTCAGTGGTATGCAGGCAAATGTTTAACATTTGTTTAAAAATTAAATGTTTAACAGTGCCAAGCTTTAAAGAAGCCCTGACTCGCAGCACTTACCTAATCTGTGATGAAAATAACCCACTGGAGTCAACCAATGTGATGTCACTGCACATGGAGTTGGAAGAGATGTGCACAAATGACTCCGGCGCACCAGTCTGTTCCTCAGAACCATTTATCTCCATGCCTACAGGTACTGCCTTAATACAGGATTTCATCCTCTCTCTCCTTGACCTATACAATAGAATCTTTATGGATTTTCCTGACCTCATAGTCCACCCCTTCATCTGACATGGTCTCCAAAATCTCTTTCTAAAATCCATCTCATCACATTACTTCCCTGCCTCAACTTCTTTGGTTCTCCACTGTCCACTCTATCTTCATATATAAGGCCCTAGATTATTTGTTTCCTATGGACTCTTGAGCTTCATCTCTTACCATACAACCACCCATATCCCCTATTTCAATCACACATACACTCCATACCCTTGCACCTTGGCTTGTTTTATTCCTACTCCCTAAATTAATCTTCCCCAATTTGTTCACTCAGCATACCTCTTTACAGAATTCAGCTCAATCTCTTCTCCCAGGAAGCTTTTCCTGAACTCCTTAGGTAGACTTGATATCTCCCACTTTCATACCTCCAGTACATTTTAGCACTTCTAACACCCTTTATTGAATGTCTTTTAATGTCCACCTCCTCCTGCTAGACAGTAGTTTCCTGAAGGCTGGATATGCCAAGCAGATAGTACAGAAATAGAGTACAATAGACTCTAAAGAAACAGTGACTATTATTATCCCAGCAAGTAGCACTCTAAGACCAGTTTATAGTAGCTGCTCAAACATCTGCCCAAGGCCAGAGGACCATTAAGATACCCAACCTGTACCTTCTAGATTGCTAGGGAGCCCAAGCTCTACTGCCATAGTCTAACAACTTGCATTATAAATGTTTTTCATTTTTCGCCTATTGGCCTCATGTTCATCTCCTAGGGCTGCCGTAACAAAGGACCATCTGGCTTAAACAGAAGAAATGTATTTTCTCATCATTCTGGGTGCTATCAGCCTGAGATGAAGCTGTCGGCAGGCTTACTCTCTTCCGAGGCATCTCTCCTTGGCTTGCAGATGTCTTCACATGCACGTGGCACCCCCTGCTACGTGTACCCATGTTCAAATTTCTTCTTCTAGTAAGTAAGAGAGTCATATCGGGTCAGGGCCCACCCTAATGACCTAATTTTAACTTAATTTCTTAATACTTAATATAACTTAACTCCTTAATATTTTAATTAAAGACCCTATCTCCAAATACAGTCACACTCTGAGGTCCTGGAGATTAGGACTTCCACATAGGAATTTCAGGGGAACACAGTTCTGTCCCTACCAGCCTTCTACTAGACTCTGAGCGCTTCAAAAGACAGAAACTATAGCTTAGCCTTCTTTCTTCGTTCTTCTGTACCTAGTGAAGTACCCGAAACAGCAGATTCTCAATAAATTATTTGTGGGATACATAAGTGAAGGACCTTCCCAATAGTCCAAATCTGGATTGTAGTCCCTTCCAAATCTGGTGGCCAGCACCAAGGAGCACGGGGCTTCACCCTTTCCCTGAAAGAAAGTGTGATGCTATCGTGCTCTCTAGATAGTCCGCTGCCAAAGCACCACGTATACAGCACCAACCACTGAGCAGAAAACTGTAATCCTTAAGACCAGACACCCAAAGCCAGCTCACAATACCCTGCCCTCTCCAGATGCATGCTGGCACACCCTCACTGACAGCATCATGCGTGGCTAGAGGCAGATTCAAAGTCAAGAGAAAACCAACATCACTCTGCCTAAAGAACAAGGTGTAGCAGCTTGGGAGAAATGGGAAAATGGACATCTGCTACATTTTTCCTACCCAAAAGGAAACTTCACCCTCACTGTTGTGTGTGACTTTGGTAGGCCTATCAGCCACACAGCCAGGCTACCCCACAAGCAAGATGGGCATGTGACCTATCACTTCCTCCTTCTGCCCCAGGAATTTGAATCCTGAGTGGAATAACATTAAGATAGGGAATAATTAGAGGGAGTCAACTAAGCCAGTGTCATGAAACGTTCTTGTCCACACATCCCTGAAACGGCCTTACTTTCTGACCTTTGCCAAGGCTTGTTCACCACTGTCTTTGCTTCTGAGAACTGCCTGATAGTCTTCCCCCAAAAAACACTTTTTCATTAAATTAGAAAGTTTATTCTGTAGCTCTCAATCAACAGATCGTGGCATATAATGGCTCCTAGAAGTGCAATGTAGCTAGTAGTGGACCTACAATATGGGAATGGGAGCAGGCAGTGAGGATTCCCCTACCCATGGCTGAGAAGTTGTGCTCATCATCCTTGTTAAGCCACTGCAGGGCAGCCAACCATACTACTTCTTCTCATTTTGGGGGACACATTCCACATGCCTCCCCAGGCTGAATCTTTAGGGAAGTTTGTAGGAAAATATCAAAATATTGCAGTCTATAACTGTGTCTGACAGCTTTTGGTAAAATCCTAGAAATAACTCTGCTCCAGCCAAGATGGCCTATCTGAATACAAAGAAGAGAAAATTCTGCCTCAGCTAAACTGGACTTTTTCTCCTGGTAGGAATTCAAGATGACAGAGAGTCAGGTCACTATGAAGGAGTTTGAAGTCTGAAGCGATGCACCCGTGACAATGCTAGATGACACAGGAAGGAAGGAAGGAAACACAGCAAAAGAGAAGACTGGGACCAAGAGAACCAGGAAAAGCCTGACTCCCCCAAGTACCTCCTGATCTTACTCACCCTGCCAAAAGGCCAAGTGCCAGGAAGAAGCCAGAGGATGAGAAACAAATTTTCATTGCCTTTATCTCAGAGGCAAAAGCCAAGCAACAAGATCAAGGGCTAACAGATAGCCAGCGCAGGAAGGCCTAATTCCAAGAGCTAAAGCCCCAGGCTCAGGCCCAGAGTCAAGGACCAAAGTGGAAAGTCCCTACAGACCAGCAAGTTTAAGTTCAGTCGAGTTGAGATAAACTGCCATAGAAACCTTGGAAAACAAAAACATACTCCTGCACCAAAATCAATTTCCACATGTCCTAACCCACAGCACGACCAGAATTTGGGATGCTGAAATAATATACCCCCACAAGGAAAATCCTCCCCAACGTCCTTCTCAAATGTGTCCACAGAATTCATGAAGCCACAGAGAACAGGTACAGCAGCCAGGCATATACGGCAGGCAGTACATTAATCATCTACACGTTGTCTCAGATACTGAAGGGAAAAACCATGAAGGAATAATAGGTGAATACCAGGACTTTGTTAACATCCAACACTAATACCAACCTAGCATCGAAGTTAAGGTATATCAGCAACTTTCTATAAAGATACAGACACCATTAGACTTAGATACAGACAACACGAAAAAATAGGAAAAGATTAACTCTGGAAAATAGATTATGTGGTGGAGGTAAATGTAGAAAGAAATTATAGTCCTTGAGTTGTACTAAGAGAATAACTTTGATTTACAAGGAGTCTAAATCTATCTCAAACTGCCTACATCCTATCAATTTATATCCTGAGATGGCTGGGAAGTTGGTTAGCAAACAAGGCCTTTTCAAAAGGGGCTGCTGGGTAGACACCTGAGTGCTACCCGCCTTCTTCTATGACAAGTGGGTTCAGATGCTGCGATGCACCCTGGCAATCACAGTGTCTACAGCACTGGGCCCTCCAAAAGCAGCTTGTCATAAGGAATCCTTTTCTCACATCTGTGAAACTTGTCTCCCACAAGTAATACAACCTAGACCATATTTCTATTAAATGGCACAGAATCACTGGGAAGCAGAGCAAAACTTCCATTTCTGTATGGCTAGGATCTATCACTTACTTGCTAAAGGAAGGGAAATATAATTCCCCACACCCACTGCATTCTCCCATCATTTTCATTAACTGCTCTGAGAAAATAGCCAGAGACAAATTATAAAGAATTTTTATATTCTGTAGGCAAACAAAAGTATGTCAGGTGAATGGGGTCATCAATGAGTAAGGCCAGGCCTAGAATGATTCTGCTGAATATATTTTAACACTGATGGACACTGGGCCATCATTTGGCTTATGGAAATAGTGCTGGGTAGGGAGAAGCTGGCACATGTTCCTGCAGATGAAATGGCCTGCGGGTGTTGAACAACAGTTGGAACACAGCTGCCATGGCTAAAATCAAGCAAGTACAGATGTCACACCAAAGTGGAAGTAATTTCATACCATTCCATGCAGCCAAATTTGAAATGCCAATGGAAGAAAAAAGTATTTTAATAGACTAGGTAACTATTTTAAACACCAATTCTGTGCATAACTAAAGTTTTTGCTGTTGAGATTCACATGTTAGAGGGCTCAAGGAGAACTTCAACGGCTCAGCAAGGTGAGTGCAATACAATGTGCCATGTTAGTTTGGAACAGCCCTGAAGTCAAAGTCACTGGACCTTATTAGACTTTGTAATTCCAAATATAGTTTAGAAAGTGACCTTCCAGGCAATTTTTTTTCTGTCAATAGTTTCTGCCCTTATAAGTAGTGCTATCATTTTCTGTGTTCTCAACTGATACACTAAAAGCACATGGTACCACATGTCAGGACTTATTTCCCCTAGAAAGATAAGCTGGGGAAGGGAACATTTCTCTCTCTCTCTCACCCATTCATTCACACACCAACTTACCAAATGCCTTCTTAGGTTCTATTAACTTCAAAGTAAAGCATTCTTCTTTTTTTAAGTCTTTTAACTTCTTAGCAACATCATAGTGACGCCACCCGACAATATTTTCTCCATTTATGGATTCAATGTGATCCCCCACACAGACTGTTTTAACTGAGTCAATTGTGCTACCATCTTTAATTCTCTGAAATTAAATTAAAGATAACACACAATATAAAACATAGTTGTGTAACATTACTTTTCATGCTGAGACATAATTTATAAAACACTGACATATTAACAATGTAGTTTAATGCTCACTTGAAGATGGAAGACTAGGCAACAAAGGACCTCTTACCTCACTCAGAACTCACCTCCATCAGTCACCACCCTCCTCTGAGAAGTGTGGCAGACACCCCCGACTACTTCCCCAAGACTAGGTGAGGAACCACTCTCGCACTTCTCCGGTACTTTCTGCAACATTTGCTGAACTCTAAGATCAGCACTTTACATTCGCCACCTCATTTAATTCTAACAATCATAATGAGAGTCTCATATCATAGATCAGGAAAACTGAGGATGGAGGAGATTAAGTAACTGGCCAAGTTCAAAATACTATCAGCAATTGTTTGTTGACCTCTCATTTTCCATTACTAAACTGTAATATCTTTTGGGACAGAGATGGTCTTATTCACCACTACATGCCCTGGGCCTAACACAGTGCCTACAGAGAAAAGTCCCTCTGTAAATGATAGTTGAATCATATCAACACTAGACCCATTACATAAGACTAACACTTGAGCTTTTTTTACTGGCTGTATTTTTTTTTTTTTTTTAATCTGGCTGTATTTTTTAAACCTTCGTTACAAATGCAATGATTCAAGAATTGGTACAACCTTAGCTAAGAACATTAGTAACTAATAAGAGACAGGCATGGTTGCCATTGGGAAAGCCAGCAAGAGTGACTTCATACTATCACTTTTTATTTATATTTTTTAGGTGATGAAAAATCAGGACCCAAGGGGTAACTTCAAATGGGCCTTTCTTAAACCCGTCTTACCTCTATATAATAAATCTGTAGTGCAGAGTCTCCAAATGGGGTCTAAGACAGCACTAAGAATTTCTGAGAGGACTTCAGGGACAAGACCTGCAGAAAACTCTGCACAAGTAACAGCCCTGCAAAAATGGTCTAAGCTCTTCCACAGTAGTAAGTTCTGGACAGTAGTGAGGAATGGGGCAATAAGAAGGCCACAGTCTGCCTCAGGAGTCCAATCCTTCACGGGAATGGAAGCACAGAAATACTATGGCTGGATACTATTGTATAATAAAAGTGTGTATATATATATTCCCCACTTTTGCCGAGTGGAGGAATAACATCTTCTGAATCAGCAGGATGATTATGGTGTCTTCTTTTAAGATCTCATGTATCTCAGGATCTCCATAATATTATTATCAGAAAGAAAATTGTAACTTGGAAAGATTGGGCATTTCTAGTTCTTAAATTTTATTACTATATACAAAACCCACAATAATTCCCCCGCCCCTAAATTTTAAGAACATTGCTATGTTCATTGTTAAGAGCAACTGTTAATAAGCTTTACGCAAATGAAACAATGCCAATTCCAACAGAGCTCACGATTTACCATTACAAATAGTACACTATAAAGCAACCAGAAATTTCATAACCTGACATTGTTTTATTGTAAGTCCACATTAGCATTATAAGATAATAGAAGGGTAACCACAAAACACCACTCAGTACAACCAGAGTTTCTGAACTGTCAGAGAAAAACAAGCAAGACTAAACAAAAACTGGAAGCTAAAGAAAACTGAATCTCTATTAAGTATTCTATTATCTAAGCAATCTGAAGTCATTAAAGAATGTAAAAATCTATAACTCTTGATTTTTGTTCTAATTTATCTCTTAGTACCTTCTGAACCTATTTTTTTTAATCAACTCTATCATACAAATATTCTTACCAGATATTTTTAGTTTTTTAAACTTACTGTTTCAATTTTATTAAAAATAAGCATTATATAAAGTTTAATGCAAGACTTTAAAGACATGTAGGCCTCCTACCCATAAACTAAAGGTCAGAGTAACAGAAATCTAGGTTCACCAGGGACTTTGAGTAGCCACAGAGGTTACCAGAGTGTGCCCAGAGGGAGAAAGGGCAGTTACCAGAAATCACAGCGGGCAGCAAGGTGGGAGCCTACGTAGGCAAGAGAAAAGTCAAAGTGTATGTAATCATCAGCAGATAAGGACCTGGGATGAACAGACAGGAAAAATCAATATAAGAAACTTGGAGAAGAGTACCGTAAGGTGAACAAGATAGAGAAGTAAAGCGGGGGATATCAATTATATATTTAGTAGGTTACCTGAGCCTTGCCTCCTAAATGTGTAGAATAATGAGGGAGCAATTGACACAAGTTTCTGAAATCTAGTATACTTTGATAATTATACCATAATTTGATAGAGATTAATAATATTGCTAAAAGTGTTACTCAGACACAAAGGACTAGGAAGAAAAAAAGGGGCATTAATTCCATATTTATATTTACTGAGTCACTTAGTATCTTTCAATATAACATTCAGAATTTTGTTTCATCTGGCTTTAAATTAAAGTTTGATACTGCAAAAGGCAGAAAAGACAAATATTTTTTGGAAGACAGGATTCACAACATTATTGAACTTAGAGGTTCCCAACCATTTCAGACTATTATTATAGTATCTTCCATTATTTCATCTCCAATTATACAACTCTGTTTTTTCATCACAGACATCAGCAGAATTTTAGGGCAGCATCCTACCCTCCTCAAAGTCTCAAGCATCATATTCAAGGTTGTCGGAGCTGTGTGCTCTGCCATCACAGTCAGCAACCTTGAGATCTGTGCTGCTAACTTTCCCAACACTGTCTTCAAACCTTGTTCATAATAACAGAGTAACATTTGTATAAAAATTGCAAATAGGTATTTCATTTAGTCCTCACAACAAGCCTGATTCCATTACCGAAGGAAGAAATCAAGGTTCAATGATTATAATGCCTTGAACAAAATAACACAGCAGATGATGGAATTGGGTTCCAAACAAAGACTGTATGATCCTAAATTATGACAAAGCCTAAAATTTTTTACCATCTGGTCCTTTAAATAAATTTTGGCAACTCCAGTCTTAAACTCTTCTAGGAATTTATAGGTTTTGTTATGAGTATACTCTGAATTTTCTTATTACGTTATTTACATACTCTTGTTCTAGGGGATTTTGAGACTTGGATAGTAAAATCATGAATGTTTAAGTCTGTTGTCTTTTAATCTGAAAAGTTTCATCTGTGAGAACCATGCAGTACTGTTTATTTCAACAAATCAAAAAAATAAAAAAAACACAATTCACCCATCTCTCCCATGCCTGACATTCACCACTCTGTTCTCTGTATCTATGAGATTGCTTTTTTATATATGCATATTTATACATGCACACTCACATGTGTGTATATGTTTTTTTGTTATACCAGGAACAAAAATGCTATAGAAGACATTTGGGCAACTGATAAAACTGCACTATGAACATTAGATTTAAAGTTTTTTATCAATGTTAGATTTTCTGAATTCCATAATTGTACTGTAGTTGTATGTATGAGAATATCCTCATTCTTTGTAACTACGTTCTGAAATATTAAGGGTAAAGGGGCATAAGATACACAATTTTGCATATTTTTTTGCAAATGGTTCAAGAAAAATTGCATTTATTTATATATATACATACGTGTGTGCATGAGCGAACAACACATTAAATGTGACACATAGTATAAGTTGGTGATTTGTGCAATGGGTACTATGGACGGTCTCTGAATTATTATTATAATCTTTCAGCAAGTTTGAAGTTATCTCTCACCCAAATTTTTTTTAGTCATATTAACCATGTATACACTATGGTATTAATTTCTCTTCTAAGTGGAATTATGTTGGCAGTTTGGCTTACGGTCCACTTTCTCTTTGTCACATTCTCTGTCTAGTGACTAGTGACTAGTACTCTGAGGCAGGCACATACTCAATGAGGCATTAAAAAAAAAAAAAACAGGACAAGTGCTGAACATTAGAGACTAAGACCTAAAAAATCCTCACATGTTTGCAAAACTTCCAGCCCTTCCCTGCTGACATTAGAAAGGCACTGCTGCTTGTGCCTCATGTCCTGAGCTTCCCCGAGATAATCCCACATGACTTTCCCAACTCAAGGATTTTCCATTTGGTCACTCTCTCAACCTTCAGCTCAGTCATATCTTTTGCAGAGCTAAAAATAGCCATTCTAACAAGTGGGAAGTTAAATAAAGTACTATTTACAGTTAAGAAGATAACTTCCTAAGACTGTTTTTTTAATGATGACAATGCATCAGCAAATCAAGGATCTGGACAAAATAAAGGCATGTAACATGCTCTACTGCATGAAGTTTATAACTGATTCTTAGCTCAGTGGATAGGAATGCTAGCTCTGGAGTCGGATCTCTCAGATACAAATCCTAAAAGTGTCCAGCTGCATTAACTTTGGGCAAGCCACTTAACCTTCCTGATCCCGTTTCTACATCTGCAAAATGAGGTTGGTAATAGTGCCCACCCACAGATGAAGCTCACAAGCATGAGGTTGAGCAAAAGAAACCAGGAAAAAAAAAAAAAGAGTACATATGATTCTAATTATACAAAGTTAAAGAACAAGCAAAACTTAAGGTGACAGAGGTCAGAATAACAGTGGCTACCTCTGTGGGAAAAGAATATTGACTGGGAAGGGATACGAAGGAGCCTTCTGAGTGGTAGAAATGGGGTATCCTTGATCTGGGTGGCAGTTATACAGATGTAAATATGTAAACACTCATTCAGCTGTACATTAAAAATTTGTTACATCTCAACAAAAAAGTAAGTAAAAAACCATAATACCAGCCAAACAGAACTGGCGTAAGGATAAGTGAGAACATATATGCAAAGTGCCTAGCACATGATAAGCATTCAGTATAAATCAGCTGTTCTTACAGCTGCTTAATAACAGTACTGTTAGCTTGAAGAAATGAGTCTCCTTTTTACCACCCCTCAGTTCCTTAGTTTTTCATTCCACTTCAGACTTCACATTCTCTTGCCTTTATAGCTCTATATTGTTCATTGCATTTAAATAAAGGAATTATATAATTTAGAAAATTCTGAAGGATATTTTTAAAGTAAATAAGATGGCCAAAAATATGTGCACTTGGAAATAATACTAAATTTGTGGAAATCAGCATGAAAGTCATCAGATACTAATGAGCTAGAGACCTACAAAAACTCATATGATAATCAGTACATACCAGGGCCAAATGTTCCTTTACACTAAGTTCTAAATTCTGAAGGAAGTTTAAAACGAAGAGAAGAAATTCAATCAAAGGGTAAACAAAAAATGATGTCTTCAAAACACTTTTTAAATGAAACATTACCAGTGCATCCATGCTGAGCAGCTCTCACTTGGAGGATCATTTTCAACTTTCCTTAACCTGGGAGATTGTCTTAAATGTTACCCCCCACGTTACACAGTTATTTTTTTAACACTTACCTTTATAAAAGCATAGCCAGTACCATTATCTGTAATGGTGAGACCAAGTGAATCCTCAGATTTATACACCTTCACTTCTTTTTTTATTCCTTTCACATGGGCAAATATGAAATCTTCAAGACCTATTTGTGCTCCTAAAAGTCGTTCCATGTCAATTTTAGGTGTGTTTAAAGTGCAATATAAGATCTGTAAGGAGAAAAATATTTTAGGTCAGTTTTCATCAGGAAACATGCTGGTCATTTGTTTGATAAATATCCAAGTGGGATAGTCCTCAACTTTTGATGTAAGAGGTTATATCATTACTATTAGGTAATATATTATTGGGTATTTCCTATAAGCCAGACTCTGTGCTAAGCAGTTTACATTCATTATCTCATTTAATCGTCACAATAACCTTGTAACTATATTTTCAACTCCATGTTACAGATGAGGAAATTGAGGCTTACTGATAGTAAATAATTTGCCTAAAGCCACAAAGCCCATACTTGTCAGAGCCAGAATTCAAATTCAGGTCTCACCAACTTCAAAGCAGTTTAAATTCCTGCCATTTACAATGCTGAAACCAGAGGCTGTATTCCCAAAATTAAGGTCATGATACACATACCACAGTGAAAATATAGGCAAGAATATTTGTGAAAACTGGTTATTTTCTTAAATGAGGAAAATTTGTATTTATCTTATATTATAGTGCTAGGAAAAAGTAATTAGTGAATGAGGTGCTAATATGAAAATATCTAAAACATGTCTAAAATGGACCTTAAAGACTCACTAATCTAATCTCAATTTTTAAAATGAGGGAACTAAGGTCTGGAGAGGCTAATACAGTCTGGTCAATTCACATGATGGTAGAAACAGAATGAAAAATTGGAACAGTGGAAAGTTGTAGAGATTTTAAAGGGACTTCTGTTTACCAAGTCTTTATTTGGCTCATTTTCCTTCAAAAATGTGATTTGTTTTAATAAAATCGGCAGTGCTACTCTTAAGTGTGTCAGCCATAATTTGGGTAATATGGGGGCCCAAATACAAAATTACAGAAGAGAAGGTGGTTCAAAACATATCGTTTTAAAAAGTTCAAAAACCATTTGCATACATTCTATTTACAAAAGGACATTTTAATATAGCTGTTACACCAAAATGGCCAAGTGAAAATTTTTTAACTTTTTTTTTTATTACCAAGTAATGTTTGCCACAGATATTGCCAGCCCTTCCCCCATCCCTAAACTTCCCCTAACCCCCTCACTTTCAACCCTCTCCCTATATCCCGAGTTTCAAATCATTGCTGATTCCCACTGCAACCTTGAGTCTTAAACACATAAGCTTCATGAAGCCCAGAAGCAGTGCAATTACCACTTATTAAACTGCCCTTTAAGCCATATCAAATGTGTCTGAGCTGGAAGAATTCTCCCTGCTATACAATTAAAGATCCAGTGTGGTCACAAAGCTCTGATCAAATCCCAGAGGTGTATGAAAGGAGCTAATAATGAGGACGAGGAGGAGGCAGATGAGTGCAAAGAACAACTACTTTCCCCTTTTCATCCAGGTCTATGGGGAGATGTGGGACTCTAATCTTCTAACTGGTGGGACTTTAATCTTCATGTTACTGATGAGGACATAACATATTTATCTGGCTTTGTACTGAGTTTGCAAATACTCTCTAGTGTAAAAATATGTTATTCACAGGGAGGAAAAGAAAAGTCATTTAAGCCAGGAATGGTTCCTATTCCCTATTCTAATTATGAGATCAATGGTATAATTAGTCCACTGACAAAAATAAATAATAAGTAGAGGGGGAATGGAGTATGCAAAGAACACAGCTTTTCTGAATTCCTTTCTCAAAATGATGGGAAGTAAGTAGAAGAAAACAAACACAGTTTTCAGTGAATCTGTTAATAGCATTCACAGTGGATCCCAAACACCATTAATATAAAAGTAACTTACCAGTTAGACAAGAAATAAAACATTCAAACCTAATGATGACCAAACAGGGCAGGAGAAAAACCCCAAAAAGGAAATCCCACACAAAGTGGACCTCTAGTTACTAAGCCTCTTCCTTTCTTTCAGTTTTTCACATGCTTCACTGCAGAGCAAATATGAGATTTCCTGCAGGTATAACCCTTTTCCATTGTGCTTCCTCCCTGCAGAATAATGTTCCATTACAGGCAGCCAAAAGTTGGCAGACAAGACATCTTTTTCTTTTCCTGGAAGGAATGGAGCCAGCTATATCCTTCATAGAGTGGAGCTCCACAGGAAGTTGTTCTGAAAACCTGCAGAAATGTAGTGGTCACTGGGAGGTAGAAGGACAGCCCTCTGTAGCAGCAAATAACTAAAGCCCCATAACTTCAGATCAGTTCTTCATGGGAGAATACCTAACATTCATATGCTGTCCATGCACAATCACCAGCAAATACAACTGCAAGTATGTGATAAAGGACTAGAAATTCAAACACATCCTCATAGATTCTGTATTTTGAACTGAAAACAAGAAGATGACACACTACTTTCTAAATGCTGCAAAGTTCTTCCCCGTTCATCCACCCGCAATTGTTGATTGGATGCCCACTTTCCTCCAGGTTCTGGGCCGCACACGGCACACAGAGATGAATATGACAGTCCCTATACCACAAAGAACTCCCAGGCTGGCTGATTTTTTTTTTTTATTACCAAGTAATGTTTGCCACAGATATTGCCAGCCCTTCCTCCATCCCTAAACTTCCCCTAAACCCCTCACTGTGGCACAGTGAGGCAACATGAGCTAATTGTAGTATACCAAAAGCCACGAATATTTAAACCAAAAGGAACCTCAAATACATATTGTGAACTTTCCTACCATCACTCATATATTTCCTTCAATCCAAAATCTGAAACACTTGCCTGCCCACTCCTCCGCTATGCCCTTGTCTATTGAGGCTATGCTCAAATGTGACTGCCCACGTGTTATCAACCAATCTTTCCACTTGGCTCACATTATTTAAATCTAGTACCTCATTTGAGCATCTGAATCACCTTGCCTTGAAGTTCAATTGGTTTGACACATGTATTTGTCACTCTCACTCAGAGAGAGGAGACCTTAGTGTTCCTTCTCCCTCTCCTACAATGTGTAGCACAATGCCCTGCTCGGTTTATATCTGAATGGCATTTACAGACCACATTCCCTTACCTCACCTATTACAATATACTGTATGCTAGGTTTTAATATCCTCATTTTGTAGATAAGAAAATTATTACTTTATCCAATTAATATAACTTATAAGCGTTTAATGTTAAAAGATAGATTAAAAAAAAGAAACAGTGGTCACAGTACCAATGTTCCTCGAGAAACTTGCTTCCAGAGGGCCAGTTAACTAGATAAAAGGTAGTAAGAGGCAGTATTTTACTTTTTTAGTATTCCCTTGTGAACAAACTAAACTAAACCAAAAGAAAGCAAACTCATGGCAAGGTATCATGCAATATAAGGAAAACAATCCATCCATTAGATAAAACCTTTCTGATGTTTTTCACTGCAAAATGAATCCTTAACATCTTCTGGAGTATCTATTTTTCGTGCTTTACTGGCATCACCGCCCATTTTCAGAAGACAGATGGAACACCCATGACTCTTCCACTTTCTAGAGTGCACTGCCCAAATGAAGTGCAACACAAGTCACATAATTCATATTTTCTAGTAGTCACATTAACAAAAGTAAAAGTAGGTAAAATTAATCTAATTTACTCAAGTATATAACCTGTATATCTAAAATATCAATTCAACATATAACCAATATAAAAACTGAGATAGTTTACATTTTTATGAAATTTTTAAGATCTGACTCAAATTAGACTAGCCGCATTTGAAGTGCTCAGTATCCATATTTGGCTAGCAGCTACTGTATTGGGTACTTCACTTCTAGACTCTGCTATCTTCGTCGATTTTATACTTTGTTTTTTGCGATTTCCATATACCCGCACCTGTCATTCCCTTCACCACAAATGCCATAGCTAAAACCCCACTCCTAAACCCAGTCTATGTCTGTCAAAATCTTCCCCATCCAATAAAGTTTAACTAAACTTCTACATTTTCTATTTTTGCCCTAAACTAACGTCATTTCTTCATCTTCTATATGCCTATTAAATTTCATAGGTATTTTGTAGGCCATACCATATGAAGCTTTGTAAACATTTAGTAGGCAGGGATTTATTTTATGGTCTTTCATTTATGTTGTGTGCCCATCAGTGTGCCTGATCAATAGGGAAAGATGGGTTGACTGAAGGGGAAAGTGTTGCCCTTTGGGGCCAGATGATAGAGGACCTTGAATTGTTACTGTGCTGCACATCAGAATATGCAATATCCATTCCCCTTCCCCTTGGTTTTGCTTTGGAAATTTTTCCTTTCCCATTTAATGCTGTATCGTAACTTGGGTGGAAGGATTCCGCCCTCAATTCCATAGAGAATGAATCATGATTAGGCTTAAACCAGCTAATGACTAATTCATCATCTAATTTAGACCAGCAAGATCCAAGAAAGAATTTTGGGGGTTTCTGGGGAAACCCTCTTCTCTTTTCAACAGAAGCTACCAGAAAGGTGGCACTTGCACTCTCATGCACCCTAAATGACATGAAGTCTAAAACTACTGCAGCCATCCTGCAAAAGGTAGAGGAGTGAGGCTTGGGAAGAAAGCTGACACATGGAGAAAGGCAGAGCCTCCGGATGCAGGCTGACCTGAAGACAGTCAGAAACAGACACTGGAGTTTGTCCACTCTTTTCCCCTCCTAACATAACCTTCAGATATCAGATATCTATACCTCCCATGTGCTTTGGAGGAAATGATGCACATCCCCTATTCCAGGCCTAAGACTTAAACTTGTCTAGGTGGTGGTTTAGGAGTAGGCACGTGGCCCAATCCTGGGCAACAAGACATGGGAGGAAGATGTCCAGGAAGCTTCTGGAAAGTACTTCTTCACTACTAAAAAACAATTCCCTTCTTCCTCTGGTTGTTTTCTTATCTGTATGTGGTCTAGGAACTTCCACTGCCTTCTTACTACCAACTGAAGAAGAGACCAATTTAAGAAAGGCAAAAAGAAAAGATGGAACAAACCTATCTTTAACACTGGTCACTTGCTCTGTTAACCAACTCTGGTGCCTACTCTACTTCTTTTATGTAAAATTATAAAATATCTCATTTTAGCCAGCTTGAGTAAGTAGTTTTGTG